CACTTGCTACTATTATAAATATTGTATTGAGATCTGGAGGGCTCAGGCAGGGTCCCATATCACCACCCAGAAGGACGCTGAAATTTCAAAGGGAAGACATGGAGATGTAGAATGTGGTTTACTTTAGAAAAGGAACGTAGCAGGGGACATGATAAAAATATCCGTGGTCATGAATAAGTGCGAAGAGTCAGGTCGAGAGATTTGGATTTCTTTGTAGAGCAAGAATGAAGACAAGCTGGCAATGATAGCGGGATAAGTCAGAGCTGGTAAAGGAACTTTTTTTCCATGGAGCATGTAACTGAGTCGAGAGTACAAGAAACTGATAACCCTGTGGAAAAAAGTTCCCAGAGGTTCATATGTGGAATTGGAGGAGTGGCAGGGGGTGGTCTGTCGCATCTAAACCTGCTGAAGGGTTTCCTGCACCTCCCTGTGGAGCAGCTGGTGCTGGATGCTGGATGCTGGAAGGGGAGAGACCCTAGGTTCAACAAAGCCTCTCAGCTGCTTGCTCTGTTAATCCAGAGGCAGGGGGTGCCCTGCCTGTCCGGAGCAGCGTGGAGGAAAGCACATTAGTGGCAGAGTCACAAGCTAACAGGCACTCAGGTGTGCTCACTGCAGAGTGGATTATGAGGGATGGAGAGGGTGTGGAGAAACTTTCCAGCAGCTAGTTCATGACCCATTGCTTCTATCTTGGCTTAGAACCAAGGAACACCAAAAATTCCTTTTGGAAAGAAGTTTTTGTTCACTTGTTCCTGGGATTTAACTCCGCTTCCCAAATACAAGATATTTGAAATCTGAGCTAAAGCCCAGACAGAATATCCAGACAAGCTTCTCACACAGGACCAAAGGAGGGGTTCATCTGAGGAGAAATCACACAGTTTTTGGCGGGAGGAGAAGGAGGGGTGGGAAAGGAAAGATGCTACCTCCTGTCAAAATGCTCTTCATACAACAAAAGCTGAGCCAGATGGGAACGGTACAGGCTAATGTTACCATATGGCAGGATCAGTCATGCAAGAAATATGCTACGTTAAGGAACGTGTGAAACTGATAGATGTTAATATTCCAAATATTTGAGATGTGTATCTCGAGCACTCTCATGGGCTCTGGAGCTGAGAGAAGATGCACGTGTTGAGGAAGCTTTTTCTTGGACATGCAGTCACACGCCGGGGGGATTTTCCTCCGCCGCTCTCCTCAGCAGCAGGAAACATCTGGCCTAGCTATTGCTTTGCTCTCCCCACGTCACACAAGGGTATGTGCCTGGGCAGGTGCTTGCCCGGAAGGGAAATGGTGACATTGGAAGGGAGAAGGGCTGACGGCACGCAGGGGCAGGGCAGGGACTGCTGGCAGCACCATTTAGTCCCCGCTCTGCAGCCGTGCAGGACATCGGAGGAGAGGCGCGGTGTGTGGAGGTGCCTCCTGCATGGCTCTAAAGGGGAGGAAAAGGAGCAGGGGTGAATGAGCACTGTCTCCAGACCAATTCAATTCTGTCTGACAGTCGTACAGAGAGAAGCAGAAGTCACGTCAGCAATCACAGTGTATTTAGGGCAAAGTGGCCACTGCTTGAGGTAACTCAAGTAGCTCAAAGACCTTCTGCCTGCCTTGTGTGTGCTGGAGGTCTGGAGAAACCACTGAAGGATGCTTCTGAGAGGTGTTGAGGTCTCAGTGATGGTAGCTATTGCTGAGACATGGTTTCGAGGGTCATGAGCAAGCCCACTTCTCCAGGCATTGACTCCTTGTCTCTCTGTCCCACCCCTACCTGTCCTCCCTCCCTATCCTTCAATGCAGGGAAGACGAAACTGTGGCTTATCACCCATGGGGGAGCAATGTTCAGGATTGCTTCAGATGGTGAAATGCTCAAAGCCAGTTCTGTCTCAGGGAGCCCCTGAATTTGTGTCGTGTTATGGGAGAGATTTCCCATGTTGGTGAGCCAGACACTACCAAGAAGAGGACTGATGAGATTTCTCATCTTCCACATATATGCCGGCTTTCCTAGTTGTGACATGTGGTATTCAGAGGTGAAATACTTTTTTCTTTTATATAACGGAGTTTTGTATGGAAAAAAAAAATCCAGCATGGCAAGATGTATTCACACTGAAATGTTCGATGACTTTTCCTGGATTTACGTCAAAGCTTGTTTCCTCCTATCACTATTGTGTCTGAGGATAAGCTTATTTCATATGTACTGTAATTCTAATGAGTTGGTGGGATTATGTCAGGGATAATTCAAAATCTGTTTTGAACTTTTGATGATGATACACATTGACAACAATAGCAACAATAGCAAGAAGAGGTCTCTCTGTTGTTTGTCCCCTGTGCTGTATGCTGCCTCCTGCTTTAGCATAGCATCGTATTGTTATATTTCCAGTAAACAGAGAGGTAGTTTCTCCTCCTGCTTTATTAGATAGTCTTTGTATGAATAGAGGAAAATAACGATGACTGTGTGAGACAGAGCACAGGCGCAAGGGACCTGTCCTGTCCTGTCCTGGTGGATGTGGCCTACAGCACATGCGAGGGAACCAGCTGAGGGACACACACAGGGAGTTTGAAAGTGCACGAATTCATATAAATACACACTGCTTTAATTTCTACTTCAGAACTCCAAGCTCTTCTGTGACCCATTTCCAGTGATTCAAACTGGAGAGATGCTGGGACAGAGCGAATGCCACCCCCTGAAGCTCCTTATAGGAAAAAACTGAAGAGAGAGAAAAATGGTTTATATATTGATAGTAGTAAATGAGAGCATGCTATTACTGTGTATGGAAACATAAGAGAATCCTTAAACTTCTGCTTCAGGACCTGGGTCAACCCCTTCCTGCTGGATCTAGCAAGACACACATTTCTGGGTATGGTACTGAGACGTGACCATAGCTGAGATTTCCTCCTTTGGCTTAAATAGGCACAGAGATTAATGTGGATGAGCATCTCCAGTCCCTGCCTTCAGATTGGGATGGTCCAGGACTCACAGGGCCCATCGGGACGTGATGGCACAGTGCACACACCACAGCCCATCCATGCCAGACAGGACTGCAGTACTGTGATTCCGCAGCCTGGCGCTTAATGCTTAACCCTCACACTCAAAACATGTTTTCTCCACTTAGGCTCCCCCCTCCAAAGTTACTTTTTAATGAATGAACCTTGGGAAAAGAGATTTTCTTTGCTAAAAATAAAAATGTGTGAGCTTCCTCCAGCTCTGTCAACATTACTAGTATCAGTACACAACAGTAAATTCTAGGTTAACCATTGTAATCAGCAAAAAAATACTCTGCACGCAGGCAGAAGTGATAGAGTAATTGGTATCACCACCCTTTCAGTGATGCTTTGTTAGTTATTTCTTGTTTTGCATTTGTACATTCGATTTTTCCTGCCTAAGCCCAGTATTTTGCATTTGTCCTCATTGAGTTTCAGCTTACAGATTTCATCCCATTATCCAGATCAATTTGAATTCAGATCCTGTCTCTACTGTTTACAATACCTCCCAGCTTATAAGATTATATTATCTTTGCTATCATATAAATCAGTTACTAATGAACATGATGAAGAAACTAGGCTCCTGCGTCCTCACTTCGAATGGCCTCTTTGAGAAGTGCTTTTCCTCCTGCTTATGCGCCCAGATTATGGTAATTCTGTTTATGTTCCCATTTCGCTCACATGCCCCTAATTTGCTCGTGAGACTGTCATGTAATACTGAGTACGCAGTCTTTTTACAGTCAGGATATATCACATCTGCTTCTCCCTTGTTCACCAGGCCTGTTATTCTGTCAGAGGAGGAAATTAGATTGATTTGATGTGATTTGTTCTTGAGAAATCCACGCTGGCTCTTTCTTGTCATTTTATTATCTTCTAGGTGTTTATATTGATTATTTAATGATTTGTTCCAGTATCTTTCCGAGAAATAGAGTTAGGTAGGGTGGTGGATAACTCCTGGGGCCTCTTTTTCTCCTTTATAAAGCTGGGACACTGTTTGCTTTTCCCCTCCCTTGGGGTCTGCCACTGCCGCTTCTCAGAGATAACCACTAATGCTTTAGAAATCCCCCTGGCTGGTTCCCAAGTGCTCTGGGATGAATTCCATTAGCTCTGCTGACTTCCAATCATTTTCACATGTGCTCTTCCCTTAGTCTAGCCTGTGTACATGGTTCCTTTCCCATCCCTGCACCGGGTGCTGCTTCCTGCAAGGGAGGACACCGTGGTGGAGTGTGTCTGCATCCACCCAAAACTGGGGGTGCATGCAGGCAGAGAAGCACCCAGGCAGGGAGCTGGGAAGTCCTGGCCTCCGTAGCATAGACCTGGTCTGGCCAACTGTAACCTCTGAGCTTGAGGTTCATTTCCCCAAATGTCTGCAGGAAAAATAAGACCACGGTTTTGCAGCACTTAGCCCTAAAACTCTTGCTATCAAACAGGGATTGTTTCCTGATCATGTGTTTATTCATCAGTCAGGCTACTGAATTAAAAGATGAATTGTGAAACTGTGAAAAACTGGTCCCACATCCAAATTAATCTATGAGGACATCTATGGCTCAGAGAAGAATGTAGAATTCAAGGGTTTCTGGCAGCTGAAACCCTTACGGCTGAAACTGTACCTTCTAAAAGGTATTGGGGTATCAGAGCACAGATTCTCCCTGCTGCCATGGGGGATTTTCTTTTCCCATGCTGTTTCAGTCCTGGTCCAGATCATGGCTGCTGTCCATGGGCTGTTGTTTTTCCATGTCATGACCAGAAATAAGGACTGGGCATTTCCTGCATCTTTGCTTGAGTGCAGATTTGCTCAGGTCTGAACCCAGCAAATTCACTCCAAGAGCACGTTTACAAATCTGAGAGATCCCACTGGTGCCAAAGGCACAGCCACACGGGTACTGATACACACAGTGTGGGACACACCGCATCTTTATTTGGGTAGTGAGGCTGGTTACACTGCACCACAGAGGCACTGGGACGTGCAACTCAAACATGAAAGTGTTAATTATCAGTGGCCAGGCAGGTGGGCAGAGTAGGGTGTGAGCTTGAAATTTCCAAGTAATTTCTTGCATTTATTAATTATTAACTTTCAGACTGTTAGGAATACATTTACAAGGTCTGGGAATAAGAGTGGGCAAGAGTAGGTCATGCTCATACCTTTCACAACAATTCAGCTTTTTATTAAATTTCCATCCAGGAGGAGTCTTTATGCTGATGAAATTATTTGAGGAACTATAAAAAAAATACCATAAAAATCCAAATTACATTCAGGGCAGCAGAGAGGACATTTTATGAGATTTGTTAAAAAGCATTTATCACCTAGAAACACACCATAGTTAGCAAAATCCAGTTTGCTTTTAATTTAACTGCTCACAAGTGATCGGATGACTTTTCCTTAATACTTAAATCACCCAAAGCTATTAAAGAGCATTACATACATCTCATTAAACTTCAGACCACTAGGGTGAGCCAGACTATAGCCAATGCCAACTGCTGTGTACCATGAAATGGAAATGACATTTCAGATCATGAGATCCAGAAAAATAAGTTGAAATGTGTGATTACAAACCATGCCCATCAACTCAGGACTTCACCTTTCCCCTTGCCTATGGGCCAAGGGATTGCCTACCTCCTGCGAAAGTCTGTCTTCACCTGGAGAAGGTCCAGAATTAGCTCCTGCTAATGCTTCAGAAATTATGTTGTCTTAGAGCATAATTCAGGTTGGCTGCTTGCAATCACCCATTTATTCTCCTGGGGCTTTCTGGTGCTAAATTTCATTTTGTGCCTTGGGAACTCTCTAATCTTATCCTCATTATTGCTAGGAAAAAAATAAAATAAAATCTTTTAGCTGCAGTTCTTAACTAAGGAAAGTTAAAAATTCTGCCTACCAAACTGTCCCCTTTGTCACCTCAGTCTGGGGCACATACAAAGTGACTTAATGTGATGAGCAAATTAAGAACATTTCAGTTTAGATTTGGAATCAGCTGCCCTGTGTAAGGGCATCTTCTGCTGGCTGGTCTAGGGACCAGAGGTAAAACAGCTCCAGTTTGGGAATCACATCATGGCATTAAGCTGACATTGAGCCAGAACTTGCATAGCCTGCCTTATGGACAGTATGAGCACACAGCTGGCAGTCCCCTAGCAAAGAATCAGCCTTGTCCACTGATGGCATAAATTGTGCTATATAATATTTAGGAAAGAAACGCTGGAACTTGATGATACTAAAAAATCAAGGCATGAATAATAAAGTCTTTGCAGGTAACGTTGATGATCAAGGGTATGAGGGAGATGGAGCTGACAGAGGAAAAATGGTAACTTGTATTACATTGATATAATGGGAAAAGAAAGGCCGATGAACACTTGGGTGCACAGTGTCTGGAAGTGTCAAGTCTGGAAGAGAAAGAGCAAACTTCATGCTATATGCAGGCTGAGGTCAAGTGGCTCTGAGTTTAACTTAACCAACAGGTCAGGAGAAGAGAAAGGGCTGGTGGGGCACAGGGAAGAGGGAAATATTGGCTTCCTGCTTAGAAGTAAGGTGCTAATGTCTGAAGAGGATGGAGCTGGCGATGAGGGGTGGCAATAGCTGTAGTGTGCCATAAAAACCTCTGCTGAGTCCCTGGTTTTTAATACCAGGGACTGTTAAAATAGTTCCCACCCTTGTCTGCTGAAGCAATTTTCAGTGTTCTGTGGAAAATCAGTAGGAGAATAAATGGCCTGTGAGAAGTGTTCCTTCACCTTTCATGGGGTATTTCTGTCCTTTAGTAATGGCCTGTGTGGATTCATTTGGGTGTGTGGACTGGTTTCACTCACATCTTTGTCAATGGACAAAATATACAACCTTCTGGATGTGTGGGTGTGATCCCTAGACGTTTCAGGAAGCTGTCATTGTAGAGGTTAAGGGAGTGCATATGTGTGCATATGGGCTGCCCCTTGGCCACCTCCTGGCCCCTGCGTTGTGTGATGTGACCCACGTGTGGTGTGGGTGCGTGCTGCCGGGGGCTGTCCCCTGCTGCCATCAGGGCTCCTGGTGGCACTTACCTCTCCTTGGTCATCGTGCCTGAGTTCATGGGAGAAGGCAGCACCAGCAAATGCAATGCAATTAAAAATACATGAAATATGACAGTGCCTCTTCCTCGTTATTTCTCCATGCTGGGAGTCTGGGTGGTTTGTAATAACTTTCATTGGAGAAACCCTATGAATGCTTGCATTAGAGAACATTGCAAAGGACAGCGGGGCTCTCTTGTTTAAGGAAAAACTTCTTGGAATAGTTTGAGAAAAGCCTGCCAAATACTTGTGCATAGCATCGCTGGATAAACAAACAGGGCTCTGCAGGCGAGCACAGCCGGCTTCGCATCATTTAGGTTAAACGGTCACATAACGCTCCCTCTTCATCTCCTTCCAACACCAGAAAACAAAGTGGCAGTTTGCTATTATTTATCCCCTGCACTCATTGATGTCAGTCACTGAATAGCCCTTCAGGGGGCTTTACTGCCCTGAACAAACTGCAAAAAATGTGCTCTATTATCCGAGAGCAGGTTGAGCCCACGGCTGCCGCAGTGTGGTTCTCCGGCTCTCGAAGGTCTCCCCTGGCAGTGGCATGTCCTTGTCACCGGGCTTTTGTACAGGCCCCAGGTGGCTGAACTGGTCCAGCGATTGGCCTTTCCTTCCCGAAGCTTGACTCAAAAATCTCTGCTGTGCTGGAGCCAGAGCTTGGAGGCTCCTCGCTGTGGGTGATGCTGGACCCTGCGGCTCAGGCAGGTGCCTGGTGCAGCACATTTCATTTCTGCTCGACTCATCTCCTGTTCTGTAAAGACACAACTCACAATTAAATATTAGAGCTCTTAGGGCTGAAAAATGATAAATTTCAAGCAGTTTTAGGAGGTCAGATGCCAAACCTTTTGCTGCTATTTTTTGGCAGTGGGGATTGAAAGGACTGAGACCTCTACTACACTGAAATAAATCTTACAGGAATCCTTCCTGGTTTTCCTTCAGTGTTGTCTTTGTCTTCACAGCATGTTGTAATCCTGAATGCAGATTAGATAATATATTCCAAGGAGATGTGCTTGTCCAAGAAGCTATGTACCTACGTTAATGTGGCCAGAGTTAGCTGTCATATCCCGTGGCATCCTGTTAAAAATACATATTCTCTTTGTGTACCTAGGCACAGCAAATGAGCTGTGGAGGGGAGATGTGCCTTAAGAGCAAAACAAGCTCTTTATCTTGGCTCTGTGTTTAAGGTGGCAGCAAAAAGCTGCCGCTGCCACCCCAGACCCAGGACACCCACCAGGGCCACCGTGGCACCCGCTCTGCTCCACAGTGGAGCCATGAGCAGGTGCAGGTGACCCAGCACGGCGGGGAGGCAAGCAGCCCGCCTGAAATACCTACTGTGAGCCTCTCCTGGGAACACCTCTCTGGGATCCATCCCATGGGCACACAGGTGTTTGTGCCTGCAAAGCAGATCTGGGATGCATGCAAGAGAGCCAATCTGGGTTGAAAGATGCCAGGACTTTGATGACAATACCAGTTTAAATGTATATCAAAGTATTGCCTGATTTTAATTCCTCTGCTTGCATTGCTTTTTATTCCCTTGCTTCCTGCGCTGGAGGATGTTTGAAATACTTTGACCATGTGTATGTTGTCTTTGCACAGGCAGAACAGTCGTCTTCTCTGTATCTATCTAGTCTGCACGCCTGGACTGACGCAGGTCCCACCGGCGAAGCTGACGCCCTCCAAGATGTTTGCTCCATCAGTTGTTCCCAGTCCCTCCTTCTGCGTCTAGGAGCAATGCACGATGCTTTCGGCGGCCCCTTTTCCTGCAGTGCTCTGGCATACGCTTCTTAGCAGTGTAACTACGTTGCTCCTTTTCAAATGAAAATATTTGGGAAAACAGGCACTATTTCCTCAGTACCCAACTCCCCACAGATCCATCAACTACCAAATGAGATAAAATACAAATGTGCACGTCTCTTCTCACACTGGCCGTTCTCTTCAAACATGCGGTGATCCCAGAAGCTGCAAATGGAAGAGCCTCAGTGGAGGGGAGCTGGTACAACTCCATGCTTGTTGTAGTTTCTGGTGGTTTTGACAAGGCCCACAGTTCAGTTTAAATACCTCAAGTGTTTTAAACCTTCCCGTCAGTGTAATGGTACACAATTTTCTTGCTAACTTGATTTATGCAGAAAACTCACCCCAGGCAACAACAGTAATAGCTGCAGGCTCACACAATTTTTTCAGTTGTAAAACAACATTTACTCATAAGAGCTGGCTGACAACTCTGGGAATACACAATTATAAACAACTTTTCTTCGGCAGAGTTGTTTCATTCTGGTTTATGGCCCTCCTTCGAGCAGTTCTGTCTTCGCCGAGGAAGTGATACTTGGCACAAACGACAAACAAGGGACATGTCAAATGTCAGCACATGCCTGCAGCGCTGAGGTTTTTGGGGAGAGTGTTTTCAGGAACAGGCCATCTGATTTGCTTCCTGAGGGAGGAAAACACACACCAGGAGAGCATGTACCCATACAGCCCTCGGTGTTTGGCTTTTCTGGACAACAAGAGGCCACGAGGCCATTCTGCAGGTTCTGGATGCTGAATGGTGAGTGGTGAGAGATACAAATTGCCTTCTCAGATTGCTGTTGCACAGCAATAAAATCTGTTTAAAAAGTCTCGCCTTCCCTCCATGGTCTCCACCTCAATTCCTTGGTCCTGTTTGAAGGAGGATGCTCCTGAACAGCTTTCAGGGCTGTTAGAACAGCCTCTGGTTACCTCTGCAGCACTGAAGAGGCTGCAAAGAGAGAGGTGGACAAGTGTCTGCCTTCACTGTTGAAGCAAGTGTTTATGTCATGACATCCTCCATCTCCTTAGGTTTGATTTTCCTATTATACTGTGTAAGCTGCGTTCCCTTTCCTGAACACCTTCCAGTTCCCATCCCACAAACTCCTCTTGCATTTCTCATCTCTTTCAGTTCATTATAAACTTCAGTACAAAAATGACAAATTTTGGCAAAAAGTGTTTCATTAGACTTTGGGGTGAATTCTTCAAAGATGTTTGAAAACCGGACATTTTGGAATTTGCAGCCAGTCTTCAAGGCTGTCTGCAGCTTCTACCCTCATTGCGAAGGAAGGATGAGGATGTCCTGGCCTCTGATGGAGTGGGTTCCTTCTCTCAGTCCCTCAATCATGCTGTGTGGATCTGGTTAAACTCCGGAGCTGATAAACAGTCTGCTGAAAAATGTTTTTTCCACTTTGCCAGGCAGCTGAGAAAAGGCTCTCCTGACACTCCTGGTTCCACGCAGCACCGTGCTGAGCTGCTCCATCAATGCACTTAGTGGGCTTTGGGGAACAAAGCATAAATATTTCAGAAGGGATCTTTAATAGGTGTTTGTTTGCTCAAACATTGCTGAATCCTTCTTTGGTAGTTGCTATGGTAAAACACGCTGATTTAAACAGGAAAATGAGCACAGGCTGGAGAGGTTCATTCCTCGTGTATATATGTCAGCTCCTGAAACCCATCTCACCAGCCAAAGGAAGGCTCTGAGAAGGTGGAGAGGCAGCTCTGGATGTGACACCAGCCAGGCAATCACGTCAGTGTTCACCTCCAGGAAAATACTGCTGAATTTCCCCACCACTAGTACCTTTATCCTGTAAGTTGCGCTCACTCCACTTTTAAAGCGAGGTTTGCTGAGTATCCTGAGGAGTGGTGCCATGTGTGCCATGTCCCTGCCATCTCCACAGTGCCTCTGCTGCTGGACAAGGACCTCTCCAGCCAGAGCAGCAAGGCTGGGCATGAGCATGGCCATGGGGATGCTCCTTGCAGATAATGAAGACAACTCCAGCGTCTACCACTGTTAAAATCATACGCATATTGCTTTTTGGCCTGACGAATAGAGCTGAAGTGGAAGGGGGATTTGAGGGGAGCATCTGGACAAAGGATTCTGCTGTTTGCCACAGTATGAGCAAAACACCACCACCAATTTCCACCATTTCCCTGCTTGCAGAGTAGCAAAACAAGCACAAAGCTGTGGAGAAGTGCAACGTGCTATGGGTTTGCCAAGGCCAGCAGCATCCTCCCAGTCACTGCTGCAAGATAAACTTTGCCCTTCTGCCAGTGTTGGTGCAGGCAGCCTAGGCAAAGCACCACCACAGATAATGGGAGGCACCGAATGTATTTCCCTCTTCTGGCCCATGGCTCTTCCTAAAACAAGCTGCTTTTGTGACTGAATATTCAGGAAGCTTTCCATCAGCCTTGGATGCCAAACAGCAGCATGGCAATGCTTAGCATGGAAAAGCTTTAAGGGACACTTCAGATAGCTCTTGTAAAGACAGAACACGTCTAATTCACATGGGCACAGTATGGTGCTGCCTTTCCTAAGTGTGTCTGAGAACAACAAAGGCATCAAAGCTCCTTGGTGTCTCTCTTTCTGTGGCAAGTGTACAGAGCACAGGAATTTGGGTTTCTTCCTCATAATATGTTGTTTTTTGACATAAAGAAGAATCATCTGTGAATCACTAAGGTTACGGTGATGAGGCATTCCCTCGTGGAGCACCTTTAGGAAGGCAGCTGGAGGCAGCACTAGAGAACTACTGCCAGGAAGTACAATACAAATAAAGAAAATATGCTACGGCAAAGAAACAAAAATAGAAAGGCTAACAGATAAGGGCCTGACAGGAAGCTAGATGAATTGTGCCACTTGAGCCGTGCTTGTTTAGACCTGTCCTTCTGTATTTATTCAGTGGATTCCAGCATCTCTTACTTGGAAGCTGCTCAGAAGTGCTGGCCAGTTCCTGTTCAACGAGAGCACACAACCTGCTGCGCCCACTGACAATGAAGTGCTTGGCAAAGAAGCGTGACCCGGACAGGAGAGGATGTGCCCTTTCTGCTGCTGTAGGGATGTCGATATGGGAACGGTAGCTCACCATACAGCATGTTCCTTCTTTTAAACCAGCTGGGAGTTCAGAGTGGGAAACAGGCCAAAGGAACTGCTCAGAGTGCCTTGTGCTGGAGCCAGCGTGGTCCCCTCGGCGATCAGAGGTTTGGTTCCTCTCTTCCTCCTTCATGTTGCTGCTCTGTGCCAAAGAAGAACAGCCTCTGGCACATGCAGCCTCAGATGGGAGATGCCTGCTGAGATCTTCTGCTGAACCTCTGCGTGTGCTGCAGGAAACCCAGCCTGGTGCTCCTCCCTCCTGCGCCCTGCTGCCGTGCAATGCTTGTACTCACGGGATCCGTTTAGCAAGCTGCTGGCTAGTTTACAGGCAGATAAAAGGTCTTGTAACATCGGGTCCAAAGACTTTAACACCAGGAGCCAGGGCCTGCAGTGTCCTGGGGCTCCTGCGAAGCAGCTGAACCAGCCAGTGCTCTCTGCAAGCACGCACGGAGCTAGCACGTACACACCCACAGGCTGCCTTGCGAACGGGGTAATGCTTCTTGAGAAATTATCATTTTGGACATTTCATCTTCTCTCTCCGCTGTATGTTAAAGCCTTATTAGCAATAATGTGACATCCAGAAGATTCTAATAAAATCTCAAAAGTTTAGATCAATAGTTAATTAGCTGGGGACCCGTGGCAGACAGTGCAGTCAGATGGAGTTGTCAGAGCATAGCCGTCTCCTGTATTAAGCCTTGTCATCTCTGAGTCGCTGAAAATTTGAGGAGATGGCAATGTGAGCTTGCTGTACATAGAGGAATCCCATCCAGACACCTATACATAGCTAGAAGGGACTATTATTTCATCTCCGAAGGAGTTGAGATAGTGCATTTTTTACATCTCCTTCATCTCCTTTTATGTCTCCTGCATCTCCTTCTCCCACTAAATTTCAGCTTTGCAGAATGGCATCTCTGTGCTTTAAAGCAAAGTATAAAAACTGTGTGGGGCTGCCTTGCGACTGCTAAGATTTGATCACATTATACTGTCAGATCTGAAAACAGGCAAACCCAGTGAACACCCCATAGAAAGATGTAATAATCTTTTTATTGAAGCTCTTTTCATAATATGCACAATATAAAGCATATTTTATATTTATCACAGCGATTTCTTTCTCTCTTTATGTGGGTTGCAAATTAACTCAGAAATAAACACTGCACAAATCAATAAATACTTCATCCCCTGGCCTCTGGGCTTATTTATTCACCAATAACTTACACTGCGTAGCCAAGGAAAAACAATTCTCTCTTCATTATTTTCTGGTTGAACAACTCTGAAGTAGCAAAAGTGGACACACTCTGCTATTTTCCTCTGCTGCAGTAGCCAGAATTTCTCCTGATCTGTTAGAGGCAGAGCTGGGCAAACAACAATTTGCAAGTTCCATGGAAAAGTGGTGCCAGGAACATAACAAAGTGATAAGTCCCTGGGGCATTCAACTAGCATGGGCTATTAGCGGTTGAGACAACTGAGAATTTTCTGGAGAAATAGCTTGTTTTGTTTTGTTTTGTTTTGTTTTGTTTTGTTTTGTCAGAGAATGCTGATTTACTGAAGTGGGAACTTTTTGTGCGAGAGGTTCTGGAGGGGATATTAGGAGTGTTGCTAAACCTCAGGGTTTGGGGTGGAAGTGCTGGGACAGAGGGTCCTCTTTGGGAATTGCTGATTATGTCCACCCCAAGTAGACCAGTAATGACTCCTGGGCACCCCTGGCAAATACCCCTTTGCCCACCAGCCTCCTCCTTGCATACAGTGACCTGATGGAGAACAAAAAGGACCCTTAGGAAACCTGGGAGCGCTTTCCAGATGAGCAAAACCTCCCTCCAGCCTGTGCCTCAGCGAATAGCCTCCTGACTTTAACCCAAAAACACTGCAGTCAGTCAGGATGGGGTCACTGGGGAGTCTGCAGGGAGAACAGGGGCTGAGAGGGGGCTTGGGGATACCCCAGGGCAGGCTCCCAGGGTGGCAGGCTTTTTGGGGTCCCGGGGGTTTTTCAGCATCGCTGCTGCTTGGGATCGTTTCTGTAATGTGGATCTGAGCTCAATTTACCAGGAAATCTGTTTTCTGCAGTTTCCTCCCTGCCATGGCTCAGGTGGAATATTGTTGGGTATTTCATGCACCGGGATGGCCAGGGAGAGTCCCTGTTTCCTTGAATAGAGTTTGGAACTGGTCTGGGGGATTAAATACAGCAAAAAAATCCCCTGCCATACAACCTGTCCAAGAGCAGGGATTGACTGCTGACTTTGCAGGCACTATTTTTACACCTGAAAAGTGTTTCCAAGCTCCCAAGGGCTTAATAGAACAGATCCAGGGGAGACATTTGCTGGGGAAGGGCTCTGCCGACCAAAAGAGCTTTCTTCCTGTTTCTTAGCTGGACTGGCTGTGTTTAAAAGCAGGAGAGAATTACTCTGCCTGTCTGCTGTGTGAGGAAGCCCTGAAACGGAGCGTGTCCCTTGCCTTGTTTACTGGCCAGTGAAAATAATTGTGGGGAAAAAAAGAAAGAAAAAAACAAACACCACCACCACAAAAAAAAGAAAAAAGAAGAAAGAAAAAAAATAATGAAAAAGCACAAATCAAATCAAACCAATAAAATAAACCAAAACCAAACCAAACAACCAAACAAATAATAATAATAAAAAAAACACCACCACCACCACATCTCTCCTTGGGGTGGAGACGTGCATTGTCCTAAGGTGGCTCCCATCATGGATTTGGGGACTTCTCCATGCTGCAAACTGGTTTGCTCATGACTCCTGTTGGCCAGCTGTCCCAAACCCACCTCTCCAGCCATCTCTTGAGCCTCACCAAGCAAACTCCACCTCTCCTCTCAGAAGCCCTCCAGGTGTCAACTTCGTGTCGCAAAATATCCCCTTGGTCAGACCTGTCACAAAGCAGTCACTTGATCCCCAGCAAAGCTATTTTGAGTGACAGGAGGCCCATGACCAACTCCTGGCTAGTTTTAATTCTGGCCAGAAGATGGTCATTGGTCCTCCAGAACCAGGTGACAACCCACCTACTGCTGGGTGTCCAGTGAGAAATATCCGAGCAATTCCAGTCTGACCCAGCATGAAATAATACATACACAGCGGGGCCAGTGCCGTGTGCCGGTGGGATGCTTGCCAAGTAGTTTTGGAGTGAAGTCAGCATTGAGAAACCTCTGCATCTATCTAATAACATGGCCTGAAGCAAAATGTATTGGACAATCAATAGGAAACTAAGTATGAAATGACAGAGAGCTCTGCAGGCTGCACTTAAGGGAATTATGCTGGGAGCCCTGCATCCACATCTGAGCCCCACGCAGATGCTGATTGATACAGCAAATAGCTCGTCTTGGAAGGGGACTTTGAGATGCACTTTATAAATCAAAGTCTAAGTAAACACAAAACCGCTGCCAAGTGGGAACGTTTACAAACTTTGTAGCTTCCATTGTAAGCTCTGAAATGCCAAGAAGAGAGAAGCCCCTTGAACCCCACGGGCTGGGAAGGCTGCTCCACTCTGGGGCACTGTTCCTGCTTCTCTATTAACTCTTCCAGGGAGAAATATTTTGTTGGGTGTCAATGTGTTAGACACAATAAATAGAGATTAAATAAATAAATAAAGGAAGGAAGGAAGAACATTTTCAGGGCTTAATGACCTGAAGGCACACGCAGCACGTACCTTCTCCCAGGTATAACCAAAAGTACCTACACAGACACCATAACCCTGTGCAGCTAAGAGAGCTTTAACTCACAGGTCTGAAGGCCAGTGATACAACCAAACTTGGCTTGGATCACCTCGAACTGATGTGAGCTCTTCTGTTCGGACCACAGAGTGAGGTGTAAGAGAGCAGGGCTGGGGTGTGGGACAGCCCCAAGTGACTGAGAAGGGTGAAGGGCCAGCCTTGCAACAGCGGGGGGCTGTGGGGAGGCACAAACAGCTGGAGAGGTGTGAAAGCTTCCTCTACCAGACAGGGACCTGAGGATGTGACAGTGTAGACCCCACTCATACTGGAGAGAGCAATCAGTGCACAGTGGAGATGCCTCCACGCAGCAATTTTCCTCTCCTTTTCCTCCCACAAAGCAGGTGGCTGTCATTCGCCCTTCCCAGCTGGGTGGGAAATGCCACCTTACAGAGCACAGCAGTAATTTTGAGCGTTTAAAAATAATACCTCTGTTTTTTTTTTTTTTTTTTTTTTTTTTTTTTTTTTTTACGACGCCTCGACAAATCTTTCTGTCTGTGTGGTTCTGTGCTTGGTGCAAGTGGCCCGAGACGAGCAGAGCAGCAGCCTCGGCACACCCAGCTCCTCACCTCCTGCATCTGTTCACCCGGCAGGGGGTTGGCAGAAAAGGGTTTTCCTTTCACCAGCTGCAGGAGAACATTTCCTCGCATGTCCAAAGCCAGAAAAAGTAAAGAGGGAGGTGTCTTTTCCTGGCCCCCAAATGCTCCATGTTTCTGTTGACTCCAGTGGGGAAGGACGGGGTGTGCGTGTCTGGCAGCCTCCCGCTCCCAGCCTCTTTGACGTGCTTGTGTTCCCTGATTCCCAGTCAAAGCTGGGGTGGACACAGCCAGGACGTGATTGCAGGGGACGTGCAGCTACGTGGGCGCTCTCCTGCTCCTCACCAGCTGCAAGGTGCTGCTGATGGGGACACCGCTGCCTCCTCTGCTGATCTCTCAAATCTGCACCTGGCCACTGCTGAAATCAAGCAGCCTGGGGTCGTTGTTGCTTTCCTGGGACACCAGGTTCTGTGACAGGCACACAGGGTGTTGTATAAACACACACGTTATTCCTGGCAGTGCTGCACCACTGCATGCTTTGGGCCAGTTGGTGCTGGGATAGTTTGGGCTTGGATTGGGAGGTTGTCTGCAAGTGTCCTGGTGCAGAGCGGGAGTCCTACAGCATCATCCCTTGGCTCTTTTCGGGCAGCAGGGAGGGGACTGCAGTGCTCACCATCTGTGCATTAGCTCTTTAGTTTCTGGACCCTGCAAATGAGGAGGGAATAACTCAGCTCTGCTCCCCATCCAGCCTCTGGAAATCTACAGCATGCCTTCAGCCCAGGCACTGTGCTGGCATCAGCCAGAGGGAGAGGAGCTCCTTCGGGACTCAGGAGCCAGCCTGAAGGTGCAGAGGTTGCTCTGCATTCCTGCAGCAGCGTGAACCACCCCGAAGGCTGCAGGGAAGCAGTCCATCTTCTGTACGTGCTGGCTTGCATGCTTGGTGTGCTTCTGCTGAGCTTGCAGAGGATCCTCGAGGTAATGCCTGCCAAATCCCACCCAGGGATGGCTGCAGTGAAGTGTGGCATCTGTGCACGTGTGTGTGTCAGTGCCAGCGTGCACACCCGCAGGCATGTGTGCCAACTGAGTGACTTGGGAAGGGCTGACGGCTGAATATTCACTCTCTGGTTTTGGTGGGGTGCAGAAAAATAAATTTGAGGGGTTGTGCCTTCCTTCTCCCCCAAACACCTGGGAAATAGCCCTGTTGTCTTGCTAGCTCCTGATTTCCCTCAGCAAAGGTAACTCAGCAGAAGTTTTCACTTATGAAAACGTAGGTAGGTAAAGCAATAGAGAAAAAGGAATACCCAGGAAGTGCTCCATGAAAATATTTACATGGTTGTCTGATATAAGTGCTCATTCTGTTCTTGCTGGTATTGCTGTGCTGCAGTGCAAAGCTGAATAAATGGGAAGTAGTTTTTGCCTCAGACTGTTCCTGGATTTTTCCCGGCATTCCTTTCTGTTGCTCATCTGGACTGATAAACTGCTAATCCAGACCGCCTTTTGTGCTGCAAGGCTTTATTTACAGAGCCGACAGGAGATGTAGTTATGCTACAGATACAGCTGAGTGCCAGAAGTCTGGAGGGCGCAGGGAGGGACAAGCCTCACTTCGTGCAATTTGCCACCTAAGTAAGAAACAGAAATGCATCTGGAAGATCTTGTGACAGTTCCAGCACCACCTGAGGCTCTCCTGCCATTGTGTCCCCAGTGGCAAAGGTGGTGAGGAAGAGCCCTCAGCTGCTCCTGTCTCAGCCAGTCCCTGCACCAGCCTCTGGAGTTTTCCCATCGGTATTTTATCATCGATCTCATCAACACCAGTACAGGGAGACCTGTGCACAGAGCATGTGAGAAAAGGGGAAGATGTCGGGAAGCAGTGAGATGTCTCCTGAACTGCTACGTGGCACCACGCTGGGAGCCCACAGTGCTGCAGCAAGGGAGCAAGGATGCTCAGGAAGGGAAAATTTGGGGTGGAGGAAGTGTGTGTGTGTCTGTCCTTCCTGCTGCAAAGGAAGGATGAAACTCTGCTACCGTGTGCTCCCTGTTTTTTCAGGGCTGAGGTCAATGAAGAACATCACCTGTGCTGCCTGGGAAGTGGGACAAGATGTCCTGGTTGCCTCATTTCTGGGGCTGCGGGGTTTTATCACTGCCAGGAATAAGAGACATCCTATTTTCCTGTTACGGACATGCACGAGTCCGTCGCCACCTCCCTCCTGTGAAGTCCTGTGTCTGCCCCCAGTGGAAAATCCAAGCCGCCATCCCAAACAAGGTGTTCTTTCACTGGGTGGTGAGAAAGTCGGATGGCCTCACCCGGTACGTGCCCTGGAGCTGGCAGAGGGGCTGTCCTCCCGGCAGAGGCTGGCTCTGCAGAGCCAGGCAGCGAGCTGTAAGAATTAATATATAGGCAAACAAAGTGGAAGCAATCAGGAGGGAACATGATATCTGGAGTGCGTCACAAAGCAAGGGCGAGCAAATATACTTTCCAATTAAATGGCTAGAAAGAAATGGAGGGGACTACACGAGAGGAGGGGATGGAGGACAGGAGGTCCTTCTTCGTGGCTTTTTTCCCTGTGCGTCATCTTTTTTTTTTTTCTTTTTTTTTTTTTTTTTTGCCAGTGGAAAATGCCTGTAAGAAGCAAGCAGATCAAAATGGTAACCTTTCACTCTGGTTCCAAGCACTGAGATGCTGACTCTGGGAATAAGGGCACTGCAGCCTGGCTGGTTACACCGTGGAGGCCACATTGCCAGCCTGGTCCTGCCCCTTGGTCTCGGCTCTTGCAGCAGGGAAGATGCTATTAAGCCTGAGGTACTGGAGGGCCAATTGGTGCTTTGGACTGCGAGTTAAATTTCCATGTGATTGCAGGATTATTTTGCAGACTAGAACCCTCTTCTGGTAGAAAGATTGTGTTTGAGGTTGTTTTGGAAAACTCTGTTACTAAGAAGAGCAAGGGTGAGAGTTTCATAACATTTCATACCAACGGTTGCTGGTGTCAGGGAAGATTGCTTCTTTAACGAGCTGACGGTGGGGGTCAAGCACTCTTCTGAGATATCATCACTGTAAAATACCCAGTGTTTCCAGGAGAAAAAGTGTCTGTGTCCTACAGGATGAGCTCTGTGCTGTACACTCTACCTTCTGCACCCTAGATTTGTCACTTGGCTGAGTAACACGACTCAGCTTCTCACTGTCCCGTGGCTCTCAGACTCTTGTTTAAGTTATTCCCAGCGTCATATTTGGGGCATTTAAAACAAGTTTCGTTCTACAGGCAGAAAGACCTCTCCCCCATGGGAGGCAAGAGCTAAGCTCTGTGCTCGCAGCGTCTTCCCCTGTGGGAACGGCTGTTTTGTTCGTCCACTTGTGCACCCATCTTCCCAGCAAGACGAAAGAGAAAGTCCTCTGCGAGGAATAAGCCCATCTCCATTTGTCATCTTGAAGGGTTTGTTTATCATGCTCGCTGGCGTTTTCCAAGCTGGATGATTAAGGGGCTGAAAGTTTCCCACAACTATATCCCCAAATTAGCACAGAAACGCTGATGAGTTAAAACAAACATGATATGAAAGAGGGGGAAACAGCCCTGCCTGCTTCCTATCTCTGCATGTCTTTGCAGAGCAGATCTTGACACACCTCGAGCTGCTCTCCTGGTCCTCGCTTTCCCACACCGCTGTCACAGCACTTCTTTCCTGGCCCCCACTGCCTCCTGCTCCATCCCAGTTTCCTTCGGGAGGAATTTGCTAAACACACCAAGTTATGGTTTGGTTAAGTGGAAAAATTATTCTTGGTATGACACGGCGAAGCACAAATGAAAAGCTGCTTCTTGGGGATGTACCCTCTCCTGCCAAGAGTGCTCTGAATTAGCACAAGGGAAAAAAAGAGGGCTTTTTTTTTTTTTTTTTTTTGATTGATGCTTGAATAGAAAAAGCTAATAAAAATTTAGCCTGCACTGAATCAAAACATTTTTATTTCCTTCTGAAAAAAAAAAAAAAAAAAAAAAAAAGATGAAAAATGTTATTTTGGCTCAACTCAAAAGCTTTCATTTAGTATCATTTTCAGCTAATTTAACCCTTTCAAACCTTTTTTTTTTTTTTTTTTTTTTTCCTGTGTCTTTTTCACAGAATGGGGCAGTTTGGCAACAAAACCATTTCAAAATTATGGTCTGACCACTTTGATTGTAGTCCATCTGATCTTGAAAATGATGAAACACTGCATTTTGACTTTCTCAAGATGTTGTTTTCTTCCATCTTAGCTTTTGTCTCTGGAAGTGTTCAAAGTATCAAAGAATTCAGCTTTCTTTTTTGGGAGGGGAGGAGGTTGTAAATCTACTGTTCTCTGAAAAACCATTCCCACAGTATTCTCAACTTTCTTCATCTTTAGCTTGTCTTAGCTGACTCACTAAGAGCTACTGTAGTCACATGCTTTTCACACAATAATTGTTTACAGCCAACTTCAACCCATTTTCATCTGTGCTTTATCAGTCGCCGCTACTTAAACAATATTTTCTGTCAATAGCTGTCAGGAGTTCCCGGGATACTAATGTGTTTGGGCCACACAGACAATGAGAAGCTCACAGATTGTGGGGAGAATAAAATCAGTCATCCAAAATAATAAGAAGTTCTTTCCAAAGGGGAAAAAAAACACCCCTGAAATGTAGTTGCAAAGCTCAGAGGAGGAGAAGAGTCCCCAGAGGACAGCAGGGAGCACGAGGACCTGCTCCTGCTCTGACTCCTGCGTTAGCCTGGCACGAGAACGAAGGTGAAGCCGACCTCTGCTCGAAGCCTGGCTGTTGAGCAGGTCACTTCCCTGCTCTTTGACATGGGAGCAGGAGCCCGGTTCCTCACACACGGTGGGTAGGAGGCAGGACGGCCCAAGAAAGCATCATTATGCAGTTCAAGCCCTCGCCAGGGCAGCTGGCTGCTTCTGAATCTGCTAACTCAATAACTGCTGTGCCCTGCAAATCCTCTTCAGGCAATGAATCCGCTTTTACTCAAGAGGTTTATTCAGTTACTCTCTGCTATTTTCAGTAGAGAAGGCATTTTTATTGCAGCAATTCAATAAATTAGCAGGGATTGGTGTCAGTAACCTCCTTGCAACGTCAGAAATGCAAAGCTTCATGTGGCACCAATCCCATTATGGGCCTAATCTCATCTACTTCTCTACAGATAACAGTGTGATAAAGGGTCAGATTTCCTTGGCTGCCTTTGTGAGCGTGCTAAGCTTATTATCCTCTCCTCATCCCCTACAGGAGACAGGCTTTCACCTCCTAACCTCTGCTGTAATTATTCACTCTCTGTTACTGGAGCATGGCAGGCCTGGCTCTTGAATTCTACTTAATATGATATTATTTATCTAGCCAGTATTCTCCTCTCAGTGGGTTTCCACTGATGGCCTTTTCCTCTGCTGCTTTCCCCCGCCCCGTCTCTGCAGTTCCTCCCGCTGTGTAGTCTGACCTTTTAAAGCATTTCAAAGGCCATAAGGATCCTCCCGAAGAAACAGGACTTACAAGGAGAGAGGACAAGAGAGAAACATTCTTTGACAGGTTGTGTTGATTACAGAGAAATGAATGGACTCCCTGAACAGCCCGTGATGAGTTACTATGAGGGCCCTCCTTCTCCTCACATTCCCCTCTGGTGATAAATATTTGCCTTCTCTTCTGGAGGCTGGATCACGTCGGGTTTCATTTCAAGAAAACTCTTTTATAAGAAAATATCTCTGCTCAGTAAGAGGAATTTCAAATTCTCTCCCTGACTATATTTAGTTTATTGGGAATTTATGGCTTGAATACGCTTTTGTTAGCACAGGGGTGGTTACAGATGGCACCGGCTGGCAAAAATGGGAGCTCTCCCACTGGAATGGGTTGTAGGAGGGGAAGAGGAGGCACATTTTGGCAGGCTCCTATTAATCGTGATAAGAAATGTTTTAGAAATCCCCTTCCAAAGAAGGGAGCTCAGCAGCAAGTCCCAATTACACGGTGAACTACACAGCCTGTTTTGTAATAGATTGCTCCTCGCTGGCCTTGCTGCTGTCAGCTGCAAAACACCGCTGTCTTCAAACAGGCTTAAATTAATGAAGTCACAATCACAGATCTACAAAGTAAGTGTGTCAATGGGCACCGCTTTTACGCGGAGCACAAGACTGCATTTTTCCTACTCAGATCCTCTCCTTTCATCTATGTGCATTATAGATTTCATCACAGATCCCTTGATACGATTATTGTATCACCTCAATTGATGGAGGAGAAAGTCAGGATGCTCAGTCCGACCATCTGTATGCAGGATGTGCATGGATGTGAATGCAGCTGGCAGCAGTACGAGCATGTCAAAGATCCCACTCAGGCTGGGGGATCTGAACACAACAGCAAACCAGAGGACATAGAACTGCTTTTGACTCCAATTCCCCTTGTCTACTCTTCTTCCAGCCTGCGGACATCCAGCATGTTTGTCTTTGGCTGCCTTCCCATCATTTCGCCAAAGGCAGCCAGTGCTCACTGCACACCGAGCTTGTATATCGAGCTTGTGTATTGGTTAATCAGCTGCAAGTTATGTTCTCTGATCTTAGGAGCTGCGTTCTTACTCTGAATTGGGACATGCAGCAGGAATTCTCCATCCTTTCTCTGTTACTGCTTTCCCTGGCACAGAGAAGTTGACCAAGGGAACAGAATGAAGGAACGGAGGCCAAATCCATTTTGTAGGAGGTACCTCAGATCCACAGCATGCTCTGAAATCACTGCTGGAACTCTTCTAAATCCACAAACAATAATTCAAAATGGATCTCAAAATGGCCTACAAATATTAACAAACAAATCCTTAGTGCTCCGAGCTGTTATTCCACTGGTAGTGATGGGAAAATTGATAGAGCAGTCAGGAAACACAGCCAAGCCTACATACTAAAGTCAAATTAATGATAGAGCTAAGCTTAGAAGTTAAAAGCCCTGATGTGCAGTACCTGAACCTAACCACAACATAGGACAGATTATTATTTTACTATCTGAATTTAGTTTTATAAAATTAAGATATTTTTTCTCTATCTCCATCTAATTTTGGAGCCCAGCAATATTCCCAACAACTACCAGAGGCAGAGGTAGTGAGAGGGAAATTGTCATCTCCATAGAGACACTTATGGTACCTTAAACGTACCTTGAGCAGAGAGGCAGATAGAGCAGCACACCTCCTTAGTCTTGCAGATGCCTGTGAACACGATCTGCCCTGTGGAAAATGGAAAAAGGAGGCTATTGGCAGCTGCTGGAGCTATAAATTAAATGATCCCAAGAGCCCAATATTTAATTTTCACTCCGTGCAGAGGCTGGCTCCTGTGAAAGTGAGAGCCCTCACCCTCTCACCCCAGTGACACCGAGAAGAAACCTCTCACCCCCGTGACCCCAGGAGGATTAACGGGCTGGCTCCTTATCCTCCCACTCATTTTTTAATGAAGTGTGATGGCATGTTGAGGGAACCTGTAAGTGGGAACAGGCCATATGACATCCTCTGTCCTCAGTGGCACACAAATGGGTCTGTTTACAAAAGCAAGATGAAATGAAAGGAAAACTGTGCATCCATGCCAGCAAATGAACACTCTGTCCTGCATATGCTTCCTCTGGGACACGGGGAGGAGGAGGATTGCTAATCGACCAACAATTTCTCACCATATATTATTTGTGGTTGCAGGATTGCTTATTTAAAGCCACTGTGTATGCAGATGGTTTGGTTTGGGGTTTGGCTGAGGAGATCCTAATTTGTAAAGAGCTATCTCATTTAAAGAATTTGAAAGGACAACAGATTGGAAGGACTGCTCCACCAGTTTGTCTCAAAATCCCTTTCTGTCTCCAGAGTGTGTATTCTGCTTCTCTAGAGTCTGCATGGGCTGTGTAAAATAAATCCCTATGACTTGAAAAAGGTTCATTAAGTTCCTATAATTGCAGCTCACCAGGAGAGGAGGAGGGTGACTGTATAAACAAACAATGCAGGGCTTCTTGTTCATTTGCTAAGCAATGCCAGACAATCTTTTTCTCCAACTAGAAATTAGGAGCTGATTTTCCTATTTACTTACACCCCAGACTCAGCCTTGGGACTTGGAGCCTTGTCATGGGACCATTCCTGCCTCTTACTGGCCATCCCAAGAAGAAATATCCTTGCTGTTTGGGGCTGGGTTGGACATGGATGTGGGCAGCGGGGTGATGGGCTGCATCCTCCATGGGGCAGCTGGAGTAACTCTGTGATGGATCTGACTTCAAAATCTATTGTGTGGAAGAAGCAGCACAGGCCCAAGGATGGACAGAGCATATTGTGTCCTCAATCATATTTGAAAAACAAATTGTAATGTTAGATTTCATATCCTGAGATGTGGTCTTCAGCATATATGAAACATACCCTTGCTTTACATGCCAGTAACCTTTACGCATGGAGCAGGTTGCATTTCAGCAAGGCAGTGTGTGAACAGCAAGCAGAGAAGCAAAATCGTGCAGTAAATGCAAATGTTGACAATGCCCAACAATCTTCTGCAAGTTTTAATACAGAGAAAAAATGTGTACGTGTGCCCAGCCTGTTCCACAGGGAATTGCTCACAGTTGTACTCACGGAGCCGTTTATCTCAGACCTCACAAGACGCTGCTCGCCCTGTAGTGACGCTCTCCAGTCTTCCTGCTGTTACATCCCCTCGTGCCAGGCATCTCTGAGAGCTTTATGACAATAATCTAAGCGTGGTGGAAAATAAAAATCACTCCGTTCCCTCTGCCTGCTTGTGAATATAGTGCCAGCAGCTCTTCATAAACTTTCCCCATTCTTCTAGCTCATGAAATGTTTTATGTTTTCTTGCCTTTGGGGAAGGGCCTGTGCCAGGCACACAATGCAACAGAGGAGGATAACTAGGGTGCAAAAAGGCTTTCCCCACACTCTCCCCAGGGTGAGTATCCCATTTCCATGTGTCCTTTATTGCCCCATGGCACTCTGCTGGAAGTTGTAACCAGCTGACTACAGACCTCACCAGCTGAAAGCTGTGAAGCTGATATTTGCTGGGGCTTTCCCTCTGCCCCACAGCTGGGGTTGTACCAGCCACTTAGCAGTCAGGAAAGCCAAGCTATGGACAGGGCTGGGGCATTTTAAGAGCAGTGCAATCAGTTCTTATATTGAAATAGATCCAAATTAAGAGCTAGGAAAGCCTGCATTCTTGGTGCAATGCTGATTGTCAGGTATAGACCCTTCCAAGTTTTTTGTCCCTTTGTTGCCCATCAGCTCCACCAACATTAGGAGATAAATACTTGTGGAGAGCCTTCAATGCAAGCATCTCTGGGGTAAATAAATCTTGCTAAGAAAGTGCTGCTGAGACAGCTGCCCTCACCAGGTGCTGCAGAGCCGCGAGTCAGTGCAGCAGAGCTGGGACAAGACATTTTAGTGTCAGAAAACATGGAAGACAATCTATAATTCAGTGGGAAACCACTCGGGGTTTGAAAGGTGCTGCATTGCCTCATTGTTTTCTATCTCCTAATGTTCTGGTGGCTGTGCTGTGTTCTTGGGTTGGATGAGAAGCCAAGAGCATCTCAGGCACAGGAGCTTGGAAAGCTGGTGTCGGGGCCAAGCACAGTAACCAGGCTCCAGCTGCAGGACAGATGGATCCTGCCCAGGCTCTGTGTTGGCATTTGGGGTTCTGAGCTGCCTGCCTGCTGCTGCAGTGTGAGGGCGAGCCAGGTTTGACCAAGAGAAAACCGCACAGCCATTAATATTCTGCCATTATTAATTCATTGCAGCACCTGAATGTGAAATGAGAGAGAGGGATTCAATTTGAATGGCCCAGAATGGAGCCCTGGACCTAAGCAAGGCCCTTTCATTCGGGGAGGTTATTTCTGCTCTTATTTTGGTGACAGCTGCTGGGCAGAACCCCTTGTTCCACAGTGATTATCCAGCCTTCACAGCAAGTCCTGTGTCCTGGCTGTGCCAACCAGGGGGTTGTCCTCTCATACCCCAAAACCCACCCTGAGCAGTCGGGGAACCTGGCTCGTGGCTCACTGCGTGGCTTTTCACTCTCCCTCTGTCCTCACTGAGCATTAAACAAACTGCCCAGTGTATCAGGGCTGGGCGCTTGCCACCAGGCCCGGGGACTGGAAAGCTCTCTTGTTCCATGCTGATCTTCCTGCGTTTCCATCCATCACAGGAAGGACTCCTTGTTCCACTGCCAGGATTAGTGCTGGCATCGCTCCTGCCTCGGTCTGAATGCCCTCCTCTGAGTGCGTCTCGGTCCTTTCCGGGAAGGCTGCACATGGAGGTGGACAGGCATCGATTTCATGGCCAAGAGGAGGGAGATGTGGCCACGTGCATCACAGGCGAGAGCCTGGAAGGGGCCCGGCATCAACTTTCTGCATACCTGAGAGGCTCAGGACACTGCTCTGAGGTCCTGAGTGATGCCTCCAGCATGGCTTCAGGCTGCTGAACACAGCCACAAAAATTATACCCTGTAATTCCAGATGGGGGGCAAACCTCATAAAAAGGAATTTTTTGTCTGGTGTCATAAGGAAATAAGGCTTCAATCATCTTTCTTTCCCTCACTACCTGTCCCACTGATGACTTTGGGGTTGTTGGATAAATTTCACGAATCAGAGGGACACAGGTGCCAAGGATAATGTAATTCTTAAAAAAATAGATGTCCAAGCATCAGAAATTTAGTCTATCAATATCCCCTCTGAGGAAGAGGCTGCAGCATCAGCAAAACTTCCTGAGGTCTCGGGACATAGGCGTGGGCACTGGATGTGGGAATGGCTCCAGCACTGGAGTTGCTGGTAGGAGCTGGTGACATATCAGCAGTGATTCCAGCAGGGCTGGCCTCACAAGCATTGTGTCCCGCATCGGGACACCCAGCCCCAGTGGTACACACAGAATAAGCCAGGTTTGGCTGCCACAGCAGGGCTTCTGGCTGTTTGCACCTCGATCTTTGCTGACAGCACCTTTCCCTGCCTGTCCTTTGGGCCAACAGCAGTCCAACACCATGAGACCCCTTTCTTTGACAAACTACCTAATGTTCATCCTTCCCTCTGCTTCCTAGTGGGGCCATCTGTCTTCCTGCACGCTGGAGATTTTCTTGGAGGCAATAGCCTGCGTGCAGCCTCGGGAGCAGGACAAGTGCTAGCAGGCACGTACCTTGTGGAGGCAGAGAGCCCCTGCTCTCTGGTGACCCTCAGTAGATTAACGGGCTGACTTAATGGGAGTGAAGCTCCATTAGTCACCAACAACCTGACACATCTATCCCTGGGCTGAAAGCACTTTGCTCTCAGTAGATGAATAAGGACAAGCTGTTGTCAGAGGTTGCCGAGCTATAAACAGCAGGTTGCAGAAGCTGGCAGAGCTGTGGAAACCCTCTGCAAGTGTCTGGGGTCATGAGTCATTTTGGGGAAGATTTACCTGAGTTTGGCTTCGCAGTCTGACTTTGGAGCAAACATGGTATGATCAGGGGATGCTCAAGCTCAAGTTTGGAGTCTGGGATATGAGGTGCACCTGATTTTGTGGCCCTGCTCTGGGATCCAGAAATTAATCTGTAGACCAAAATTTGAAGTAAGCTGAAGACTTACAGAGCAGATGTACCAAGACACATTTTGGAGCTTGAGAACCCTTTATGGTGTCTGTTATGAAGCAGGCTTTGTAACTCATTGCCTATTACCTCTCTGCATTCACCTCATAGATGAATACAAGTGAGTGAAAATAGAAGGTCTGATCTTTAATTCACTGCACAATTTGAACTGTTTGGGAAAACCCACCGGTTCAGGGACGTATTTATTCTGTGGACAAACTGCCTTGTCCAGTCCCTGGAACCAAGAAAGGAGCATGCATGAGCTCCCTCCACTCACCCTGTGTGCAATGGGCAGCATGAAGGACCTTTCAGAGCAGACAGTGCTGAAGAGGCAGAGCTGTGATGCTGTGGAAGCAAAGCAGCCATCCCAGAAATCACACACAGCTGCAAAGGTCTGGGTACATGTGGCCAGTCATGCCCAACGTAGTGAAACTTATTTTTCCTGCTGTCTGCCAAGGGCACAGATGAGTTTCTAGCTGTTGCCCTCTCTCCATGCTGTTAGATTTCATGGATGTATTTTACATTGCTTAGCCACAGCTCTGCAGTGCAACAGACCTGCAATGCCTTTTCATTAGCTGTGAAACAGAATGGTCACAAGAATGGTCCCCATATTTCTTTGTGCCTCTGGCAATCAATAGAAGAGTTTTTATCTGTAGCAGCCAGGAAACTTGTGTGAGCAGGTCCTGCCTTCTGGTTAGAACTGATGGAGTTTTAAAGACCTTCCTCTGCTGTTGATGCTGCCTGGCTTCCAGGGTAGTGCTGCTACTCCTTTGTTTTTATGAGGCTGCTCATATATCAAAGCTGTGGGCACAGCCTGCCTGCTTGAAGGCAGTCGAGATATCTGCACTTTGGCATCCAGATTCAGCTGTTGCATGAGAGGATCCCACATCCCTGCATTCATCTTATTTATTACTGCACCACAGGGATTCTGGAAATTTTAGCCAAGAGCACTGTTTCTTTTATAAGAGGCTTCATGTTCAGAGGAAAGCACTTTGTGATTATATAGACCATTAAGCGTCACGTGGCATTTCCAAATCAAGAGTGGGTGAGAAAACACTGGATCATATTTCTTCCCTTCCTTTCTCTGCCTTGGACCAGGTGTCCTCTGTCACATCCTGCTGACCCAGCCGGGCTGGCTCGCTGTGCCCGTACAGCCAGGCTGTAAACAGAGCTATCTGGACAGGAGAGTTTTTGCTGCCTCAGCATCTTTGGTATGGACAACATCTGCTGCCATCCAAGGGCTCTTCTCGTTGTGGGAAAGGTCTGCAGCTCAGATTTGCCCAAGGGCAGATCCTGTGTGTCTTGGGCTCCCTGTCCCCCCCCCTCTGACTTGCAGGAGGCTAAAAATACAAGCTAGTTCATAGGTGCTATTTTGGGGGCTCTGTGTTTTCCCCTGCTATAGCTCCCCTCACATGTGCTGCTATTTTTTTCCAGTAATGATGAGAATCACCCTGTACATTTCTCTTTGGAATATATAATTTTAGAGCCTGATTATGTAATTATTACTACTCTAAATCATTTGCTGAGTGAATTCTTTTTTCTTAATTAAAAACAATAACAATTTTGGATTCATTTATAGCTTTGCAAAATGGTTAGCCCCAGGAGCAGAGCCAGCTTCTCTAGGGACTGCACTTTCCCCAACACACATCAGTCTGTGCAATGTGTTTCAGCCCTGTGTTTCCTCCAGAAAATCACCAAAATACTGTCAGCTTTCATATTGTTGTATGAGGTGAGGAAATACTTGTAGGAAAGGAAGACAAGACCATTCATAACTGCAGGCTCAATTATAACATTATTACCAAATCGGGGGAGTTGAAAACGTATTGCCAGAAGCAAAGTAACTTTATTGTCTTAATACTTTGTGATGTTTTGTTTTGTAAAAGCACCATGGGATGCATTTTCTCATTTCCATTTGAGGGAGTGAGAGGATCAGAGATGCACTGGAAGCACTAAAATGTTCAGTACTAGTACAGGAAATGTTACAAGTTACTCATCTTTTTGTCCCAGGGCCAGCAGGTTCCAAATGCTTCGACCCTCTTGTGTCCTCCTGCTCTGCTCATCTTGCATTTTATCTGTGGTGGTTCAGTTTCGATGCCAGTGTTTGGGGGAAGTTGGGAGGGCTGCTGAGGAGCCTGGGCACCGAGCATCCCTTAGGGCTCCTCCAGGAAAAGCTGAACCTGCCTTGGAGCAGGGGGCACGACCAGCTGGCCTCTTGCAGTCAATATTTATTTCTTCCAGGTCTCTTTTTGTCCCCTTCCTCTGATTTTGGCCAGATTCTACAGTTTACTGCTATTAGTGTGAAAATGATTCTCATCTTCACTCCATGCTTGTGCAATCCATCCACCCTTAGTGAAGGCATAAATTGAATACGGCACAAGAGTCAGTATGTGGCATTCTGCAGCGTTCAGGCAGCAAACCCTTTGTTGGGCTTAATCTCGTGCTCTCCTTGCTGGTGTAAGCCAATACACTTGAGTAAATGAGTCTTTTGTATTAGCAGAGCTGCTATTCTGTGCAAATCGTCAAGCTGCAGCCTGGATCTGGACAGCTGGCCATTCCTTTTTCTTTAGTAGATAAAGTCCGTGAGCTCTTTTTTGGTTCTGTTTCCCCTTTCTGCAGTTTTTAACACCCAGCCTTTTCTCCTGTGGCGCAGACCCCAGCAGCAGCACAGGCGTAACACACAAGGGGCCTGTGCAGCTGCGAACTGAACATGTTGCACCTGGGCTTTCAAATAACCTCATCCAGAGGCCTGCAAGGGGTGTCATCAGCAGATGTTCAAGGGGTTGTTCATAACTTTCCTTGGAGGATAAGAGCAAAGATGCAGCCGTTCAAGTCTGATAGTGCACATGTTCAGAACACGAGCAGCCACGTCGACATTCGGCCTGGTTCAGCACAAACATGAACAGGATCTGTGGGAGGAACCAATGAGTCCTCCATCTAGCTATGGCTAAGGAAGCAATGTGAGCAACTTTGCCAGTGCTGGAACTCAGACCTGGAGCTCTTCTCTGAAGAAAGGCAGCAAAACACGGCCTGGGAGTGCGTGTGGCCCTGTCTGCAGGCTGCCAGCTCCGGTTTTGTTTCCCTTTGCTGCCTGTGCAGAGCTGAGCTTGGCTCAGCTCCAGGCCCCAGGGCTGGGCAGCTGGGGGGACCCTGATGTCCCGTGGAAAGCAGGAGCATCACAGCACGCTGCCCACAGTCAGCTTTGGCTCCAGCCCTTCTCCCAAACCAGGACTTTAATTGTCTTTTATCCCACTTTGCTGCACAACAATGATGGAAGACAAAAATCTCCTACCATGAGCTCTATTCAGTGGGAGCTGGCCAGAGGTGTATAATTCATAGGTGTTTTGTGGAGACTTAAGAGAAAAAATGAGAAGGCTCTCAGGTTATCTTAATGTCAGATGCTGCTTCAGGGATGCTTCCTGGGTCTCTGCCCCTCTTGCTCTCTCTTTCCTGCTCTGCAGGACCACAGTTCCTGGCAGCTGGCCATAACACTGGTGCTTTTTACAATACCAGGAGCTCAGCAGCTCACTGGCATTGCAGAGGCCTCAGAGTTCAAGTCCCCAGCTCAGAGCACACTTGGTGTCCCGCCAGGACTGAGGTCCTTCTTCATCTGTGGCCTGAGGGAAAAGAGCTGGAAGGACTCCTTTAACTTGGCCTTTATCTTGTTGAGAAAAGCAGAAGAGTGGTTCATCAGGTCCACATGGTAGCTGAGATAATGGCTCAAATCCTCAGTGTGCCTGCCTTTAAAGACAGCTGTGGGGGAAGTTGCTGAGGGCTTTGATTCCTGGCTCCCAGTGGGCCAGTGGCTGAGTCAGGCTGCTGGGAATGGGAGGCTTTTATCAAGGCTGTGTTTGAAGAGTGGGAAATATTAAAATGGGCTGGCCGCCTGTGCTAACCCATGACAAGACAAGAAGACCCTTTGAGGCACATCCAACCCGATGTCCTTGTGAAACACTGCCCACGTTGGGAAACTTTCTGGGTGGCCCAGCTGAGAGTCACAGGCAGTAACCAGGCATAGGCAATAAGATGTTGGGAAGCAGGCAGCCCTGCCCTCTGACCCAGCAATAACTCCCACCTGGGGCAAGGAAGAATGCACAGCCTGGGCTGGTGGTGCTCCTCTTACATTTAAACACCTCAGCCATTTTGAGGCATCTCCATTCACATCTACCACTCTGAAAACAATATTGAATGTGGCAGAGGATGCAGCTAGGGGGAAGGATGCTACATCCATTCAGAAAACCTGAATGGTACCTCAAAAAAGCTGAACATATGTGGAAAGTCTTGGCTCAGAAGCATCCAACCACCATTGTGTCAGGAAATGTACACATGAATGGGGCGGATTCACCTGCCTGCCAGCCTCCACATGCCTCTCGCTAAGGGCTAGCTCTTCATCCCCGTGAGCAGAGCTTTGGCAACACCACTTTGGTCTGAGAGGCCAGGCAAGGGGAAGGGAGGGAACTGGATGGTGCGGGATGAAGACTTCTGAGCCCAAACCTGAGCTGGGGAAGGAGAATGGGGAGAAATCTGATGAGTTACAGGGAGAGGGAGAGTGGAGCTTGCTGGAGACGGCTTGGGAGCT